CAGTGGAAAACAACCTACTTTCCTGCTTTTTTTCCTGAGAAAAATCTCTAGGATTGTGAAAAACACTAGCCACCCGTACGAACTGTTTTTGCAACCCTTAGGTAGAAAAATGAAACTATGTCACAAACAACTCTTTCTGCATGTACACACCAGGGGACTGAGTGACCAATCAATACGGGGTAACAACTTGTTACTGCCCAATCAGGGATAGACAAAGGTGTTCTTTAAAACTCTATATAAAGAGACACGGGAATAAACTGACACCTTCTTTTGCTCCATTAAAAGTGTATCCCATGCCTTTCTTTAACGAGCTTAACAGCGATAGTATTCTTCTAAGTCCTTCCTTAATTTTGTTACTTAAAACTCTAAAATGTATATAGTCTTACAGAATCGTGCTCAATTTTTTTCTCTTTCTTCATGCCCACACAACCTCTGAACTTCCCGACCTCACATTTGTTTCCCTTGTTCTTGTTTCACTTAGGCCTGTGCATCTCCTGTCCTGAAAAGTATTCTAAGTAGAAGGCATTCAGAGAAAACCAAGAACCATTTGTTTCAAAACAATACCTTAAAACTTTATTAACTTTTGTATAAATGATCAATAGTAAAACTAGCTACTAAAAGTTGATAACTTTCCAGAACAGTTACAAAAATGTAGTTGTTTGTTCAAAATAAACGACCACCTCGGAACAGAAGCCTTATGATGAAATCTGCAGTTATTCACAGGTATAAATTACTTTCTGTTGGGTAGTGCAAATGATAATTAGATGCCAAAGAGAATTTTAAGGTCAGCCAGAGTGAGCTTAGTGAAGGTTTCTCCTTTGCCTGACAGAACCTGCTGGGCAAGACCTTTCTTCCTCTTCTGGAGTTGTAGGATCTTTTCTTCTACCGTTCCTTCACAGACAAATCTAAAAAAAAAATTAAAAAAGGACAAAACAAATCCACACCATCTCAAGTGCTACAAAAAAAACATCAGTGTTATTCAAACACTTCCCCAGTACATTTCAAAAGATTAATCTTACTTAGAAATTAATAATTAGCCAATTATGTGACTGACAAAATATTTTCCTCCTATTTTGTCTCAAACTGAGACAACCTTTGAACAGAAAACAGCTATCCTCATATCCAACCACAATAGCATTTCAAATATAAGTCTGATGCACTTCAGGTCTCAACTTTGGTCATCTGAAGTAACAGCAATTGTGTGACAAAATCCTGTAATTATTGCATGATAACTGATGGCACCTATTATACAAAAAACATTGTACCCAAAAGAACATTTTAGATTCAAGTCTTTGAATGTGCTGTGCATTTACAACAACTAATTTAATCTTTCAGTACGTAGTTACAGATGCTTTTTATAAAAGTCAACTTTGCCACTTATTAGAAATGCTTTATGTGTTTTTTATTAGTGATACTAGAAAGATTCCGGCTTAGGGATCACAGTGAAAAAATCTCCACTCAATTAAGAGAAATCTTTTGGTGCCCAAACTGTTCTCAGGAATGAAGAGGACACCCCCAATAATCCACAGGCTGAAAAACAAGAAACCCTGCTAGCTGTCAGGACAGCAACATGCTGTCCTGTGCCACATGCATGAAGTGCCACACAGAACACATGAAAACATGTTTATCTCACTGCCCAAATCTCAATGCCACTGTCAGACCTTGTGTCTAGCTATAAGTAGAGAAAACAAGGTCTCATCTCACTGACTAAAGCCAGACAGTATATAAGCAGCAGCTCCTCCTTCTGCAAAGTAAAATGCTGACCTGTGTATCACAACATCCTTCTTCTGTCCCACTCGGTAAATGCGGTCACATGCCTGGTCCTCCAGAGCAGGATTCCTAAAAGGTAATTAAAAAAAACCAAAAAAAACCAAAAAAACCAGTTTACTCATTTTCCTGCCTCCAGGGAATCCTGTTTTCTTCCTCTGTAGAACTAAAACTGCTCCCAGGCTACCTCAGGTTTACCAGCTTGATGGCCAGCCTTCACCCTGACTGTACTTCCCCTTGCCCTGGGAAAGCCAACTGCATGACTGAGACCACTGGTCCATGTAGCCCCAAGCCTGGCCAACAGTTGCTACTCAGAGAAAGCTGAGTAGGTGGTAAGGAAAGAGAGTGAAGCAAAAAGGCAAACCCCAGTGAAAAAGGCCATCACTCAGGAATATTTACATAAGAGGTGGGTCCATCTGATAAAGTTACAGGGAATACTTGTTGGTGTAACCTCCATATTGTAGAAGCATCTCCTTAATGCTACTACTTAGCAGTTGGTTTTGTATGAGAAACATTTCGTTTGCTTTTTAAGTTCTCATGAGTAACATTTAGTTTAAAAAACCCACGACTGTGACTTTGATGAGACAGCACAAATATCAGGGGCTTGCACACACTCTTCTCATATGTAAAACCCAAAGGTACTCTAGCTGTGCCCAGTTACAGACTATGCTCGACACCATTGACTTATTTCAAGCCAAACTGCCTGTAGGCATTACTGCACCACTTCTATTAC